TTTGAGAAATATCTCCTATTTATAATAAAAAAACTAACTCTAGTTATAAGGAAAAGTAACTATAGTAAATAAACTCTACCTTTTTTTAACAAAAGTAATCATGGTTAGTTGTTCTTATTCTTCTAAAAAGGTAACAAGCAGCTAAATTTTAAAGAACTTGTGGTTAGCCATTTTTATCTTTTTGAAAAGATAAAAAGTAGCTAACTTTAAAGAAGCATGTTATATGGGTGGTCACTTTTAAGTGGGGTATACCCTCATTCCTTTGTCAAATTCAGTTATTATACCTCCATTTGATTTTCAAGATTCTCCCATCCAATAGAGTCAAGATCATTAAAGAAATTTGTCTTGTCATCCTGGTTGTCATTAGGAAGATCGTCACCTTTGTTGACTCTAGTTATATAGTCTTCAAATTGAGATTCTCTATTTTTGTTTTCTTTAAAATGAAAGTGTAATAGTTGGGTGTAGTTGGGAGAATCCTCTAATAGTTCATCATCTATTCCACCAGTAGATGATTCTCAAAGACAACTCAAAGACAACTCAGGTTACATTTCAATCTAAGAATTCCTTTGTGAGAGTTGCCTAAAGATTCAAGACAACTAATCTTTCTTTCAAAAGCTAGAAGTCTTAGGTAACACCAAATTGAAGATAATTCAACAATTCCTTCAACAATAAACTTAGGATAATATTAATAGAGTTGGCATGGGCTTTACTTGAGATACCTATTATTCCACAATTTAGAGCAAGGCACTTGAATGAAAAGGTATGCATTTACTTCTAGCACAACATGATCATTTAAGAAGATGTAAACTACTGCCTCTTCATAGAGACGTTTAGACTTGGCCATCCACCAACTAATCTCTCACCAAGCAACATAGACACTGAAAAGCCAAGACTTTGGCACATATATAGGTAAAAGGTGACGATTTTATAGTGACGATTTTATAGTTGGATGTACCCTCTTTATTGAGGACAAAATTTAAAAAATTTATCCTGACCTTAATGTGTTTCACAATAGCCAGGGTCTAAGAGAGATCACCTTCATATCTTAGACAAGCTACATCCAACTGTTACACATTTATTTGGACTAATACAAAAGGGGTAAAGATCAATCTAAAGATTATACAACTAGAGTCAACATAGGTAATGACCCTCTTAATGATGACCTAAATGATGAAACAAAATTTTTTTAATGATTTCGACTATCGGATGAGAGAATCTTGAAAATCAAATTGCGAGATAGTAATTAAATTTCATAAAGCAACGAGAGTATACCCCACTCAAAAGTGATCGCTCATGTGACATGTTCTTTTAAAGTTAGTCACTTTTTATCTTTTCAAAAAGATAAGAATTGCTAATCATAGGTTCTTTAAAAGTTAGCTGCTTTTTATCTTTTTAAAAGGATAAGAACGGCTAATCATATGATTATTCTTGTAAATAAAAGTAGAGTTTATTCACTCTAGTTACTTCTTTTTTTTTTTTTTTTACTAACTAGAGTTAGCTTTCTATTATAAATAGGAGATACTTCTCAATGAAAAAGCAGAGATTGGAGAAGTGAGAAACTTGTTATAAAAACAAAGCGAGAGAAATCAGTCTTCCTATTCAGCTCAAACTCTTTATAATCTATACTCTTTTGAGCATGTATAAAGTTTTTTTATTCAATTTTCCTCAATGTGTCATTTGGTTTAAAAGAAATTTTTGACAAAGAAAATAGTTCTAACTTCTATTTATCTAATTGTTCTCTTTCTGTCTCTCTCTCTATATATATATATGTATATATATAGATTAAAGGTTTTTGTGCAAATTATTTTTAACTTCTTTCTTAAAGATCTTTAGAAAGGAAAGATATTTGTTTTTCAAAACCCATACCACTATGGAGAGTAAGAAAGTTAGACATGAATAACTTAGTATAAAAGAATTTCTTTACTACATAGCCCAAATGAAAAGTATCCTTTTTAAGTCGAGGATGACATCTTAGGAGAAATTATCAAGGATTGGAAGTCAAGCGTTTTTTGATTAGGTTGGTCATTAGCTTTCTTAGAAAAGAGAGGCATCACTGAATTTTGAAAGACTTGGAAACATTAGATATTAAAGGGTGGTTGGAGGATTGTTGAAAATGGAATAATATCAGAGCTAAATCATTTATATATTTGTATATGTGTATAAAAAGTTGACAAATTTTGGCTTATAGACAAACTTTCAAGATTGCATTTCTTATTTAATAAAAGGTCAACATTGCATTAGTTTCATTGCCCAAAAGTCAAGTTTTCTGTTATCTTATTATTTGTTATTGTTAT